CCTTTGTCAGATGTTCTCTTCGCTCTGTTGTTACTTCCTATAGTATTGGGGATCTTGTCCAGGAAATCCTGTTCATTCTGATGTCCCAATGCACTTTATAATTTTCCTTCTAATGGTCTTTGTCTTCAAGTCTTATGTTTAATTTTGAGTTGAGTATTGTTTTAACTGGTGATAGTAATGTCCAGTTCATTCTTCCTCTTACAACCAAGGCCTTGTTAAGCTAGATGGAATACAGTGGTTGCTAGCTAAAACCTAAGGTCCCCATGAAGAGTGATGGGTAAGACCTGATGCATCATCACAGGCTTACTCATCTCCTGTTGAAGAAATGACAAGTACCAGACATCTTAATCAGATTTCTTTTGTGCATCCAATGAGATGATCATACAGCTTTTGTCCTTCATACTGTGGGATTTGTGCATGTTGACCCTTTTATCCCTAGGATGTTTTCCATTTGGTTGTGATGAATAGTTTTGTTAATGTGCTCCTAGATTCCATCTACTGGATGTTAGCTGAAGATTTTTTTTTTTTTTTTTTTTTTTTTGGTGCATCTGTTGTCACCAGGGTATTGGGACAGTGCAAGTCTTGTAAAATGAATTAAAAAAAAAAAAAAAAAAAAAAAAAAACTCTTTTCAGATTTTTAAATGATTTATGAAGAATTCTTAATGCTTTAATATTAGCCTGAGCTCAGCAGTGAGGCTGAGCAGAACATTCTTAATCCTAAACAATAGAGACTGGAGTTGTTTATTACTCCGCAGTTAAGAGCATTGGCTGCTCTTCCTGGAGACCCAGGTTTAATTCCCAGCCCCCACATGGTAGCTCACAACCATCTGTAACTCTAGTTCCAGGAGACTCATCACCCTCTTCTGACCTCTGTAAGTACTACACATATGTGATGCACAGACATTATCTGTAGGGCAAACATTCATACACATAATTTAAAAAAACAACAGTTTTTTAATAGAGGGAAAAAGTACTTTTCTAAAAATAAGGCTTAAACTATGAATAAATTCTTCTTTTCCTGAGATCTTGATCTTCTTTACTCCGATCTTCATTGTGTACAGTTAAACCCTAGAAATACTGAGAATGAGCGAACTCTAAAACTTTGACTGAATGGAAAACATTATGCCATGAATACCTGAAAGTTTTAATTTTGCTTCTAAACCCAGTATGGCTTTTTTTCTGTTAGACACTGCAGTCACAACACTAATGCCCTCTACCTGATACCAGTCCACTTTTAGAGCAAAAATTGTTGACAGAATTGTATGAATCATCAAACTAATTCTTAATTATTTCAGAGTTTCCCTGCGGACCTTTTATTGTAAGAATGGTGCCCATTCTTTTCGAAACCCCTGCAGAGAATTCTGTGATGCAGATTGTGGAAGCCAGCCATGTCACCAGCATTTCATTTCCTGCTCTGTGCATCGTGCTTGCTCGGCAGAGATAAAGGCCTCTGACAGCTCTGTGAGGTCTGTTGGGCTTAGCTGTACATGCCTGCGACCCCAGCATCTGTGAGACAGCTGAGGTGTGGAGTCTGACCTGCACCCCAGCTTCAGGTGCTTTACTGTGGAGGAGGAAGTAAGAGACAGAAGAGCTGAGAGGAAGGAATAGATGAGCTCCTGTAGGACTCAGTGGGTAAAAGAAAAAAATCTCATTTCTCAGGCCAGTATCTCTGGGGGATAGACCAGATTGGCCCTGGAGGGAGGCAAAATGCAGGTGTCCTGGCAGGAGACAAGCACAGGCTTACTCTTTCTTACTTATATGGCAGCCCACAGCATGGGTGGTTGGGTGTGTGTGTGTGTTTGTACAGGACACTGATGTAACGTAAGTAATGAGTCAGGAATCAGTCATGGGTTTTCAGGTCATTTGGCCAAAAAAAAAATTATAAGTTCCACTGGCCATAGAGTTGTCACTTAAATGGGAACTTAGGTCTTAGCAGCCACTGTATTCCATCCAGTCTGACAAAGCCTTGATTGTAAGGCACACCCTGTTGTTCATGCCAGTGAGAGAGGAAAAAGCAGAACACTGCCATTTAATTTCAAGATCTTACCAGTTAGGAAATGTGTCCTGATTTCAAAGATCGCAATAATGAAGAAATGTGCATGATAAAATCAGTGAAATAAGATCTGTACATTGGTACAGAGAAAAGCTGGGAAATGCAAGAAAGATTCTGAGAAAATGAAAAGGAGAGGGAATACAATCAAGGACAAGTAGAGAAGTTGACCTTGAAAAAGAGGATGATTTATGGTTTCTCGGCTATGAGAAAAGAAATGAATAATGGCCTAGAGAAGTTTAGCAGTTCAGAAGCTTAAAAAACCTAGCAAACCAATAACCACGAAGGCAAGGTCATCTGCAGAAAGAGTGACAGTGGTGGCTTTGAGGGCTTGAGGCGTCAGAGTGAAGAGGTTTTGGGGGAGGGATGCATGAAAGAATTCCCGTCAGAAACAAAGGGACCAGTTCAGACTGTAGAGGAAGGAAACCAATTGGCTCTGTTCTGTAGTGTTCAGGCACACTTGGTGCTCTGAGAAAGATGGGAACAAAAATGGAAGGTGCTGTCTGCACTGCAGCATGGGAGATTGGCAGGGCAGGAACACAGAACAGAAAAACCCAGCCGTGCTGGTTCTTCTCAGACAAGTTTTACTTATCTGTCATTCAGGCAAGAAATAAGGGATGTGGCTAGACACAATAGACATTTATTTTTCACTTAGGGGAAGGGAAACAGTCACAGGATTAGTATTGCTGAGAAGATGAAGAATAAAGTTTGAAGAGATGTAGGATTCAGAATTTAAAGTCATGGAAGTAGAAATCAGAGCAAAATGTTTGAAGATGTGTTATATTCCTATAAAGCACAGGTAGATTTATATTTCTGTTGTATGAAAACCTCTCTATCTCTCCACTGATTTCAGTGCATGATCCTTCATCCTTAGAGGGCAGACAAGCGCACTACACGCTTGCCCCCTCCCCTCTGAATGAGTGATAGGCACAAGCACTGATCTCATCACATCATTCTACGAAGCTCATGCTCTTAACACTGTACTCCTCTCAGTGTCCAGGGTTCTCATGGCCTCATCTGCCATCTCCGCCTGACAGTGCCAGTCCTCAAGACCTAGCTCAGACTTTGCTGTGACCTTTCACCACAAGTACACTTATGGATATCTCTCTCAAGTAGATTGTGAGCTCCTTGATGCCAGAAACCAATTCTTTACCCACAGTGCCAAGCATGTATTAGAAAATCATATCTACCTGGTGAATTGGGGGTAAATGAGTAAGTTGGGTGACATTTCAGATGTTAGTGTGCATTCTGGTCACCTGGCTGTCATATCAAAGTTTGGTTCTGATTACCGAGTCTGCTCCAGGTCAAGCTATTTGCTGCTGCCATGGCCTGACCAAAAGTGACACAGTAAACACAGAGGCTAAGACTGAATGGACATGGAGCAGCTGTGAGCATGGTGGCTTGGAAAGACTCTTAGAGTGAATACTGCCACACCGAGAACCATGCAGGAGATGCTTACACCGAGGGGAACAGCAAGGAACCATGTAGAACATGGTCAGAGACAAGAGTGGGAATATACGGTTGGGAGGCTTATAGGAGATGGAGAAGAGAGGCAGCAGCTTTACCCGGGCTGAAGAGAAAGTGTGCCTTCCATATAGAGGCCTTGAGGGAGGAGAAGGCAGCAGCAGGGGTCAGGTTGGGGCTCTGAGGAGGAGGGGGCCTATGAGGCATTTGTGTAATGAGTGGTCTTTCTGCCATTGCTGAGTGGCTGATTTTCAGGAAAGGGGTGGTCCTGAAGAAATGGTAGGTACTAGAATCCAATGAAGGTCATTGCTTGGTTGTCACTTTCCAGGCTCGAGGTGTGAAAGTTCTCTTTTTCTTTAAGTTCATAGATGTCAGAAAAAGTAGCACTAATAATAGCATTCTGTTCCCATCTACCTTTTATGAGTGTGCTTGATCTAACAACAGATTTAGCAAGCCTTGTAATTTAAATACTGTTGTAATATCTACTTTGTAACATACAAAAACAAAATGTGCAAGTATCCTACTAAGCCCCTTCTTCAGCAGTCAGTGGTCAATGTTCTTAGCCTGATAGACTTTCTCCTCTTTTACCCCTGTGAACCAGTACACATGCAGACAGGATCTTCTAATCCTTGGCCTTTTTTGCGTGTACATTATTTTGCAGATTGCTTTTCTCACTTAGTAATATGCTGTAAACATCCATTCAGGTCAGTGGACAGAGTGCTAACTTATTTCCTTCCTGGTTGTTTTAAAATAGCTGTGTATAAATATAGATACCCTGTAATTTGTTCTGCCATCTCTTGTTTGTGGATAATTGGGTAATTTCTACTTTTTGATACTATAAAAAAAAATGACCAAAAGAGAAAAAGTTGTGTTGATACCAGTGCTTTAGTAGCATGACTCTTGTGGCTCTGTGACTGTAGTTAGTCATGCACACCAAAATAACTTGTAACATTTCGTTGTGTGTATATATATATATATATATATAATATGTGTATGTATATGTATATGTATATTTTTTATTGGCTGTTGTCTATACCCCTTACCTCCCTACACTCCCTCCTCTTAGCTTTCCTCTCCCATTATTCCTCTTGCTTCCTGATTAGTTTTATTTCTGAAGTCATGTCATATACACATCCACAGTTGTATATGTCTATGTAGTAAAATCTAGGAACCACTCATGAGAATAGGCATAATAATGTTTCTAAGACTAGCTTAATTCAGTAAAGATGATCATCACCAGGTAGATCCTTTAAAAATAAATAAATAAACTAACAAACAAATAAATAAATAACTTAGAGGCAGAGCAGCATGCAACCACTAGTCACTTATGGTAAGTTCAGTTAAAAAGGTAAGTAAGTAGGCCTTACATTGGCTTCTTCCAGGAAGTTCTTGTGGATATCCTGGACGTACCGAGTCATATCTTAAAGAAGACCTTTTAATGGGTACATTTTAAAGTAAAATGTGGCTTTGTTGGTTGCCCCTGTAGTTACTTCAATGAGAATCAATACCCAGATGAAGCAAAGAGAGAAGAGATTGCCAACGCTTGCAATGCAGTCATACAGAAGCCAGGTAAGGAGGTGAGCTCGGGGGGCAATGCTCAGTGCCATTCAGTGGTCTGAACACTTGCCCTCCTAACGCAGCTCCCAGCCCAGTGTTCTCCAGATAGTACTCCTGACGTTAATGTGACATGACTGTAGTGCTCACACACAATCACTCTCCATGACACTTGAGGCCTTGAAAGGGTTTTTAATTAATGGGTTTGTTTTTCCAAAATTTAACATAAACTTATCAATTCTAAAATAATAGTAAAGTGTGAAAATTCAAGCAAATATTCATAATAAAAGAATGTAAACCCCATTTTTTTTTCACAGTTGCTATAAAACTGCGCGATCTGTACTTCTTTGTGGGGCAGCTCTTGGGAGTGGAGTCTGTCTGCTTCCCACATTGGGATGACTTCTGCCTAGCTCAGGGAACATGGTGGTTCCCTTTTGGGGGTCTCTGTGGGGGTCTGCAGCTACTCTGGTACTTCCTATGCGTCTTATTCCCTGTGTACTTCAGAGCCTTGGCACAAGCAGCTACTTTCTGCGTGGCCACTTGTTTTGGTGGCTTAAAGACTATGATCTTATCAGAGTTTTATACAGTAAAGGGGGATTAGTCTCCTTTGGAAAGCCATCCTCTAGTGATATCTACCCTACACATTCGGCTCCACCTTCAGGCAAGAGGAGTCTGTGCCTTGGGTGCACAGGTCTACAGTCTGTGAAGGGACTTGCTCCCTCTGGAAAACACATACAGATTAAAAGCTGAAAACAAGAGGACAAGAGAGCAGGGGACAGTGCAGATGGCTGCTTACACATTAGTATGGTATCTCCATAAGAATTAACTGTGATGCCTGTAAAGACAGTAAATCTGAACTTTGCCATGAGTGGTACTGTGTGTCCCAGAGCAATCACCATGGTGGATGATTACAGAGTCATTCGCCTTCAACACAGCGTGTATCTCCTATCTTATATAAGATATAACCTATCTGTTAAGATACCAGGAGACTAAGATAAGTCATTTTATCTGTGTACTTCCATAGAGAGTAACATCCCTCTCAATGATGCTAATTAAATGACACTTCTGTGGTCCTAACCTGGGAACTACGATTTGATCTGGAACCCTAGTAAACAGACTTTGCGGGATTTTTTTAATATTGAATATTTCTTCCTGAGTTGTGGCTAGCTGTGTATTCATTTATGTGTTTGTTGACGCAGTAATAATTTTAGTGGGTTCTTGGTACTAAACAATGCTAAAAATGATTCCATCCCATCTGTTATTTTGTCAATAAATAGAATCAAGAGCAACTTTTAGCAGAGAAATATTTCTTGAGAACAGTTCAGTCTTGGATCTAAGATACAGATTATCTGAATTTTTTTTTTTTTTTTTTTTTTTTTTTTTGCATGCATTCACAGGCAAAAAGCTGTCCGACCTGGAACGAGTTACCTCTCTGAAAGTCTATAATTGGTTCGCTAATAGACGGAAGGAGATCAAGAGGAGAGCCAATATCGGTAATGTATCAGAGAGACTACCTTCTCTCATGGGAAGTTTAGAAATGGGATAAGAGTGGCCAATTTATGAGCTGAGCTGCGGGGTCTACGTGATCGCAACACTCAGGTCCCAATAGAAGCACCATTGCTTTTCTTCATGCATTTTAATAGCAAGGTCAGTGTTACCTGCACTATTTTATTTATACTTTAATAACAACGTTGTTGTTTATAAAGCTGATTGTTCTTAATGTTCTAGATTGTAGAATTAACCCCTGAGCAACAGGTTACTTTTGTGACTCATTAAGGATTTCTGTGGGGTCTTAAGGGAGGAATTATGATGCTGATAAACGTGTGCTGGAATGGAAGAGATTTAGCAGACGAGAAGCAAAAGTGGCAATAAAGGGCATTTCAGAAACCTAACGTTAGGTTTAGTCAGATCACGGTGTATACTTATTGCTGTACACTGTGGTATATAGCACTGGCCAACAATAACTTAATAAAGCTGAAGGATAGGAGACCATGTCAAATTCCCAAAGGGAAAATGTGTATTCAACTAAAAAAGAAGAAAAGACAGGATTTTGTACTATTGAAAGCTAGTAAAAGTGAGATTTGAGTGGATGAGATAGGAGTAAAAGGTTCATTTAAGCTTCTGCGGTTGTTTTTCTGGGGCTGGGATAGCACAGTGACAGAAAGGACCTGGGTTTGATCCCCAGCACCACAAGAAGTATGATTGCATTTCGTTTGTGTAAATACTTCTTACTGGTCTTGCCAATTTCCATTTGCTCTGTACAGCCCCTCCAGGACAGCTATTGACTTAATAAGTGTCATGAAGTGCCCACCAGTCCAGATTGGTAGTGTGTAGAAGTCGGGCCTCTACCCTGATCTACACAGAATTGAATTTCTCCCATTTACAGATAATTAGAAACAGAGTAACTATGTTCTGACTTCCTCACCGTGGTTCAGCCACTGTGATGAGGCAGCAGATAATTTAGGGATCTATTTGCTTTTTTCGAAGAAGCAGCAATCCTGGAGAGTCATGGGATAGATGTACAGAGTCCAGGAGGCCATTCCAACAGTGATGATGTGGACGGGAACGACTACTCTGAGCAGGTGGGTGGCTTAGCGGAGGCTTCTGGTTACAGAGTGGCGGGGCAGTATGGTAACTCAAGTCCGTGGGTGTTGTTATGCGGGGTGGTGGGGGGAGCAGTGGGTGTCCCTCCACTCTGCTCTTGTGTCTAGTTAGATTTTCATGTGGTAAGATTCTGTTGTCCTGTTAAATCTGTGAGTAATCTCTATCCACCCCTGTGGGTTTATTGTCACACAACAGGACACTTGGCAAGCACGCAATGGGGAGGAGGAGGAGGGAAGAAGTTCAGAGGGAGGCAGAGAAGCAGAGAAGGTAGAAGAAGAGAGGAGGATCTGACCCAAACAAGCAAGTTAACCACTTACCACACACACAGTGTTTGAGAAGCATTTAGGGGCACGCGGGCAGCAGTGACGGTGCCTACATATGGACCATGCAGGGCGCCACATAAGGCCCCGCCCACTCCAGCCCCATTATAGTGGGAGCCCTCATGCCCAGAGGAGTGGTTAACCAGAGTCTCTCTGGATATCAACACACTCATCTTATCATAAATGCAATACCTGCATGACTTCTCATCCCATCCTGGTGTGTTCTGCATTGCTTGGGGAATGTGTATTTAACTGTAGCCACTGCATGGAATAAGTCAACAAGTATAATTGGGGGTGTCCCCTCTACCCACAAACATGTTGACAGATTTCATTAAATTTTACTATAGGATCTAAGTTTCATTTCCATTTGGGAAATTCAAACAATACACACATAGTCTCTTCCCTGGACAATAGCAAGAAAAGCATTTGGTCTTTCTTCTGGTGGTTTCTTTGTCACTCAGCATGCCATGCTGTTCATTCTCTTGGTGTTTCATTACCTCTGTATACCCAAATACTCCAGAGGGGCATGTGATTCTCTGTATATTCCTTCCTAAGTCCTAAAGGCTGATGTCCCAGAAGACTGCCCCCCTCCCCCGGGAGTCTGTTCTCCAAGCCCAGCTCCACCCTTGGCTCAGGAGAGTGCTCTGTATCTTTGTCAGGAACATTCCTGTTATTTTTCAGCTGACCCACATAGATGGATCATTTCCATCTTTTTTTGCAGATGCCCTGGGGGCAGCACATCCTATGCTTTTTCCCCCAAGGGACTTACCCTTTCCAAAGCTCTTTGGTACAGAGTCCCCTGAAGATGTGACAGGTGAGAACCCCCTTGTCTATGACAGCACCTTCAGTGCCCAGCACACACCCTAGAAGGATAGCCTCCTTCACAGCTGCACTCCTCTGCTTGTCGTCTGGGATTGATTCAGTTTGGTTTTGGAACTTACAGTCAGTCTTCTGCCTCAGCCTGGGAGTGCTGGGGTTACAGACATGTGCCACTGAGCCTGTCAGCAGCTTTCCTGTGTAATGTGTGGAGCTGAGGGGGTGAAGAGCTTCACTTAGCCCTAATGGGACAGTGCTGCGCATGTGGCTTGTATAATTGAGGACCCCCTGACTTATAAGTTGTAAGTGCCAGTACTTGTAAATTTTCTTTACTGTCTAAGCAGTGACACCATGGAGTCCAGTAGCCACTTAAGAGCTTTGTGGACTTAGGACAGCTCTAGTTTGGGTGCAGTAATTACTCCTGTATCTGTGGCAAACAGGAAAACCCAAATTACTAGTTTATTCTGATCACTCAGGTTTGATCACCACTAGCAAGTTTTTGGTAGAATAAATAAATTCTCAGTGAAAAAAGATCAAAACATATAATTTTCATCCTTTTTATTTGTTGAGTCACAAAAACATTGGGAGTCTCTGGACCTAAGTCCATTCAGTGTCTACTTAAATACAGTTCACTCCACCATGAGATGCGCTCGGCAGTTTCCTCCACAGATGCTCTGTCCCCTGCACGGCACCCCCGCATGCCTTTTTGTGAGCTTGAGAATTGTTACCAGCCAATGAATAACATTCATTTCTTATTTCCACACATCTAGGATGACAGCACGAGCCATAGTGACCACCAAGATCCCATCTCACTAGCTGTGGAGATGGCAGCCGTCAACCACACTATCTTGGCATTGGCCCGGCAGGGAGCCAATGAGATCAAGACAGAGGCCCTGGATGATGACTGATCAGGGAGGATCACACAGTTAACTTAGTTTAGACGTAGCACCTTAGCAGACTTTCCTCGGTCCTTAACATGTGTTCTTACAGTATAACTTACAGTTTCTTGTATGTCAGGTAGCCGTTAGGGTCTTGTTCTGTGAAGATGGCATGGTGCCCTCAGCCTTTGCATATACTCTCTCAGTATTAAAATCCCAGTAAGTAATAACCAACCAACCAACCAAACATCCCTCTCCCAGCCCCTGAGGCTAAAAAAATCTCGCTGCTCCGTCTTAGCATTCCAAGAAAGTGCTTCCAGGTATTTAGATAACCCTCAGTTCTCAAATATTAGGCTCTGTGTGAAATCTTGGGTACCTTTAGATTCATGTAACACTAGGCTGTACCCCGTTCCTGCCCCAAGACTGACAGGATGCAAGCTGAGGTAGTGGCACAGGACCGACAGACACCATCCGGACAGTATCCACGGAGCGCAAGGAACGCTAGAGCCCCACCTCAGCCGGAGTTTCATTGACTCAGCTGCAATAAGCCGTGCCTCCTAGTCACAGCGTGGCTAGACTATCCTCCTTTGGGTGCTGTGCTAAGAATGTCATTGGAATCCCGAGCTCAGATCTTGGTTAATGTTAACATGCCCAACACAGACATCCTTTCCTCTCACAAGCTGTGTTACTTAGTAGATAACATACTGCCTTCTGCATTTGGGACCACGATCCTAAAACAAAAAAGACAAAAAAAAAAAAAGAAAAAGAAAAAAAAGAAAAGAAAAGAAAAAAACAAGTTCTGAAAAGCAAAACCCAGCCTGAGAGCAGTAGGGGGAGCATGAGCTGAATGAGCTGAATGTCGGATGGCTGCTAAGCCCAGTTCTCAGAGCCACTAAACATTCCACAGCATGGTACCAGCGCCTGTCTGGGAAAGTGCTGGAGATACTGTGCAAGTTGCTTTGCCTCCTTTTGGTGCCCCCTCCCTACTACCAAAAAGTCTTTAAGGATAGAGCTGAGGTCAAAAGTGGGTGAAAGACCAGGCTTTGTACCCATCACCTGAAGCCTACCCAGAGTTGCTAGGACTGTATTGGACTGTGCCGACTCGACTGCCACAGATGCAGATCCTTGCCTACCTAGGGGCAGAAAGAGCAGGGGTCATTTACCACTTATGTCGTGAGTGAGTGTATGGGACACAGCAGGGTGTGTCTGCTTGTTCCCTTTACTCTGTCCTTGTGGAGGTGTGAAAGCTATATTGCTACAGGCAATTTATTTAATAATTGGAAGCCATATTGATAATGGATGTGGTAATATTTGTAGTTTAATCTACTTTAAGTGGCAGTAACTAATGGAATTTTTTTCCTTGATCACATATGTAGCACTTTTGTTACTTTTTAAAGATATTTATATTTGATAAATCTTTTTTTCATTTTGAGAACTCAAAATACCAAACAGTGAACTTGCGTTACAAAGTCACCCTGTGATCACCTTGTCATCCAGTAGCAAAATGATGAACTATTCATGCATCAGAGGAAATTACATCTGCTGGCCTTGTATGAAAATGATCCTGGCAACCTGATTAAATGACATACTGTCACTGTGGGTAAGAAGAAGCAGTCTTCAGTGTGTTGGCACAGTGTGTGTCTGAGAGAGGCTAAGTGTTTTCTGCCTCATCCAATCTCTCCTTTGTGTGTCTGACGAAGCCTTGTTTAGAGGGCAGTATGAGTATGGAGTGGGCCATTAAGCAGGGCTTCCGTCTTTTTGTCCATTACCTGAACCAATTTCTAAGACCGTCTCCTTCCTTCCTCCTTCCTCACCAAATGTGTTTAACTTCAAAGCTGTTGAGAGAGGAGGGCACGGTGACCCTCATTTTCCCCTTCTCACGCTGGATACTCAGTATCCACAGCATTTATTTCAGCTGGTCTTACTGGGGCACTCTGACTGGATTATCCCTTTAGCTGTAAGTCTTGGGTACGCGAATGTGAAGACTTGTCTTTGAGGGGCCTGAGGACACTACCCCACCTACGCACTGTGCTTTGACCGGCGCTAGGCTAGGCAGGGCCTGGTCCTGCTCCTGGATTTCAGGGGGAAATTGCATTTTTCCCAGCTCCAAAAACTGAAGTAAAATGGAGCCATCTTCTCTTACTGTAGTACTTGAACCCACAAATTTAAGAGTAGCATTTCTTATTCTCAGGAACGAGCCCCCCCCCCCCCCCACCTACTTAGAATCTTCCATGGTTTATTTGATTTTTTTTTTTTTTTTTTTTTTTTAGTTTTTATTTCACTTAGGAGATTGCATTGTCTTTCTTTCCTTTTGTTTATTAAGAAGAAATATTCCTATTGTGTCTTTCCATTTTGATCGACTTTTATCTGCTTATTCTCAGTTGAATCAGAAAGAACAGGAGAGGGGGAACCATATTTTTCTGGCAAGCCGCACCCATGATTTTACCATGAGATTATTGTAGTTTTTATGGTGCCATTGCTCTTGTCATTTGTTCTCGCTTGCCTTTTTGAAGGAGCAGACTCCGGCTGTTAAGACAGCTCCACTTTCTAAGGGAGCTCTGGCTACAACAGAAAAGCAGAAAGTTCTGTTGTCCGAGGCCTTCCTCTGAGAGAGAGAAGCGCAGCCATGGCTGGTACAGGCAGTGCCGGCTCCGTGCAGCAGGGTGGCGGCGCTGAGAGAGCATGCCTGCCACAGACACCGGCTCTGCTGAGCTTGCGAGAAGGCCTGTGACTCGTCCTTCTGCTGGAGAGGCTGCCGCATGCCCAGGGACCGACTCACAGCCTTACATGGAGCCTGTGCTATCTGACCCACAGTAGGAATCTGTTTCTTGGGGATCAAGGTTCAAATCTACCTTCAGGTAGTTTTCTGGGGGTCACCTGGTCAGGTTCTACTTTTGTGTCCTGGTCCCTGAGTTCTTGGAATGGCCCCAGACCTGCCATATTCATTCTCCTCCCTTTGGATGGTAAATCTTCTCCAGGTTTTAGATATGGTATTAAATTGGAAGCTTAAAGTTACCGTGCTGAAAGGAGAAGAGCGGGGCTCCTAGACTCATCCTGTGTGATCCCTGCTTGCCTGTCTCTGCTCTCACGCTCTCTATACTTGTGGACCTAGACATCTCTTTTGGGGGTTGTGCCTTCCTAACCAATGAAGATGCTGAAAGGGGCGAGGGAGGGGAGCAGGCATCCATAGAGTGCACTGTGATTCTTTTTCCCAAGTGCTTTGAGTTGCTGTTGCTGGGTAGGAAGGTAACTTCCCACCTTTTAGTACCTTACATGATGACCTGTTAACAAAGGACCATCTTCAGATTCTCCTGCCTTTCTGAAGACAATGGCAGCCAGCAGCCAGGTCGGGCACTACTGTGCTCTGCCGCGTGTGACTATGCAGTGCCCTCAGAACACAGGAGACAAGACTGCACGGCAGCCAAGTTTGTGTTGAATACCACGTAAGGCAGGCTACAGGAGGAGGGTACCTGGGTGGGAAGTAAATAGCCCCTTGGTTCCTTTCACTCCAGCTCAGTAGGTGACCGTAGAAGACATGAGTGAGTCAGAAGCCTGTTCAGACTCCTCCCCAGAGCTCTAGTTCCTGAGGGGTTTATCATTCAGCCACACCTGTTTTTTTGTTTGTTGGTTTGATTTGGGTTTCTTGTTTTTGTTTTTGTCGAGACAGGGTTTCTTGGAATTGTTTTGGAGCCTGTCGTAGAACTCATTCTGTAGACCAGGCTGGCCTCGAACTCACAGAGATCCGCCTGCCTCTGCCTCCCAAGTTCTGGGATTAAATGCGTGCACCACCAATGCCTTGCTTCTTGTTTTTTTTTTTTTGTTTGTTTGTTTGTTTGTTTGTTTTTGTTTTTTTGTTTTTTGTTTTGTTTTTCCTTCTTTTATCGTTCTTTCTTCATTTATTTTTACATGGGGATAGGACACAGAGTTCTAATTCAGTTGTCTCAGCTCTCTAGCTTTAGGAATTCTTGCTTTAAACTCTTCTTGGATACCAGTCGTCAGGCACCATCGATTGCAGACCCTAGTCCCATCAGGATGCTCCCATCACTCTTTCTGTCTCTGCATGGCTCCTCCTCCTTCCATTTTGTGTTTCAGCACTGCATCTCTGTCTTGAGCTGACTTACAGGATGTTTTCTCTTGTCTGAGCATAGGCTCAATGGGTAGTCTTAGTCCACCTCTGAACTTGGACCCTCCTTCCTGTTTTGAGTAGCTAAAACTCCATCTGCCAAGCCTATTACCTTTGTCTATCTACACTCTGAGAATAATCCACTTCTCCACAATGACTTCTCTAGCCTGTTCTAAAAGTGTTTTCTTCAAGACCTTACTCTCCCTGGTCCCAAAAAAGATTTGTTTAGAAACAGCATTGAGCCCTCACACCATACCTTTTTGTGTTTGTTTTTTGAGACAGGGTTTCTCTGTGTAGCCCTGGCTGTCCTGGAATTCACTCTGTAGACCAGGCTAGCCTCAAACTCAGACTCACCAACCTCTGCCTCTGGAGTGCTGTGATTAAAACCAACATTCCCATTTAACTCGACTCTGCTGATAAACTGGTTTTCCTCGCTTGTAGCCTGGATGTTTCGCACCAAGTTCTTAGGCAATAACTTTACTTGTGATCAGTGGTCTTGTGGTCAGTGACTCTCTGCCCACTGCAGTGCATCAGTCTCTGTCCATCTCTGTGATGTCACCCTGTTTCTATGATTATCAGCTATGTTTTACTACTGTATTCATTGAGGCTGTACTGAGACCAACCAAATCCTCTTACAGCTTTACTGAGCCAAACTTATATTTTAAGATTTCCCAAGTGAAGGTTGCTCACATCGACCAGTTCTGCTGTGCATGTGTTTGAGTGGGAGGTGGGTGGGGATGCACTGGGGCTGGGGTAGTAATCACACATGCACAGTATTCCTTTGTGTGTGTACAGGTATGCTTACTCAGGATTGGGCCAGCGGTTGTCAGCCATACTGAATCTAGCGAACTGAGCTATAGCTCTGAAGACCCTGCAGCATTGGTCTCTGTAGTCTGTGTTATGACTGGAACAGTGGGCGCCCAGACAACAGTGCAGCTTTGTAGAGAGGCAGCCATGAATGGCCGGCTGCTGTGTAAGGCTGTCGTGGTAGCATGTGCTCAGAACAGGGGCCTGTCCTGCATAGTCTCCTTCATCACACACCCTCCATTTCAAAGATGACCATCACTTCAGAAGAGTGATGTCCTTATTGTGCCCTAGGACTGCCGTACAAAAACAGTAGGGAAGGCTTTGAGACCCGTCACATCATCAGACCTCCTCTCAAAGCCAGTTGTTTCTAAACTGAAGGGGAGACACTATTCCTCATGGCAGTTTACAGGACTGGCAGATGCTCAGAAATGAAGCCTTGTGTACCTATCTATGGACTGTTAGAAGCTGGAAAATTAAGAGGTTTGTGTAGCTACTTCATTATACTATCTTGGGGGGGGGGTGATAAGAAAAAAAAAATCAGCAAAGTCAGCTGGCAACCTGAGCCACCCAGACTTCCACAGCACTGGTTTTCTTCTTTAAACAAGAGAATGAGACTGAGGGAAGGCTCAGCTGTCGCTGTCGTCACCAGGGTGGTTGCCCTGGAACTCCAGATGTATGTCCCCAAGCTGCTTTATCGTTCTCGACATCCAGGCAGGTGAGGTGTGATAGGCAGCCTTCTCCTTCTGGTGGAGTCCCCTCCACCCTCCCACCTCTCACTCTAGCCCTTGTCAGGTAGTGGGGAGCTTTGCTGCCGTCCTTGGCTGACAAGTCCTTTCTGTGGCCAGTCTTCAGGCTGTACAGCTCCGAGCACTGCTGTTGAGGAACTTGGTGCCCCACTTAGAACACCCAAGAGGCCAGCTCCCCAGACTCCATGCCCGCCTTCTCTCTCTTTAAATAAGACTGGCTCCATACAGCCATAATTAACTCGCAAATTCATGATGGTGTACTGTGATCAAATGAAGGTTTGGCTGAATCTTTTTTCAAATTGTAACCATGGTAATTGAGGGGGGTGGCATAGAATGAATATATAAAAGTATAATGGCAATTGTTCCGAATGACTGAGTGGCCTCCTGACATGTAATTAGCTGTTTTAGCAGGATGTAGATTGGCATGGTCATAATTAAGAGGATTTCTGTCCTTTATGTGATTGAGAATAGCAAGGCACCCATGCTTGTTCCCTTCGAGCACTAATGCTCCCAAGAACATTTAGAACAACAGCTCAGTAAACCAAAATAATGACATAGGGTTTGTGTCCCACCCAAGTGAGAGAGGATTAGGAATCATTTCAGGTCCAGAATGGATTTGCTTACTGCCTGCACCTGATACCCAGATTCTCTGAAACCTCTCCTGTCCAGTTTGAACCTATTCTACTTTGGCCAGAAACTAGTCAGCAAACTGAGACAGCTCTGGCAGCGCCTCCAGTCCCCGTCCTCCCCCTGGCAGCTGGAGTGCCCCCTTGGGGACACCTTCTCTTTTACCGGGCTTCTCGGGATCTGGAGGCTTTTCCTTGGAAACTTGATTATCTCCACTGCCATGACCATCGAGGAGTATTCACCACACGGAAGTTTACAGAGTTGAGTAATGGTTTCCTTCCGGGACTGTGAGGCCCAGAATAGACAA